GCGGGCTGCAACCGCGGGGCACCTGGGACCCCCGGCCCGGTGCCAGCCGCAGCCGCCCCCCGGTCCTGCCCCGTCGCCCCCGGGACACCCCCCGCCCCGGGCTCGGGACCGGCCTGACCCCTGTCCTACTGCCGGCCGCAACGCGGCCCGCCGGGTCTCGATCCCCTCGGCCCGGGTCGGTACCGGCTCCACAGTCCCGTGCCCATGTCCACGCCCAGATCGCCCCGGGACTGGCTCCACGCCCCCCGTGCCTACGGCCACTCTCCGGCCGGGCCGGTACCGGGTGTAGATCCCACCCAGGCCGATACCGGCTCCGCCCACCTGTGCCCATGGCCACGTCCAGCCCCGTCCCAGAGCGGTGCGGGCTGTAGATCCCCCCAGGCCGGGCCGGTACCGGCTCCACTCCCCCGTGCCCACGTCCGCCCGGCCGGTACCGGCTCCGCAGCTGCTCCGCCACGAAGTCCTTGCCCGACTTCCTTTTGCCGCTCAGCAGCAGCACGAGCCGCGGAGCCCCGGCCATGGCGCTGCAGCCCGCGCCGGATCGGGCCCGTCGTCCCCGCCCGGGAAGGCCCATTTCCTGCGGGGGGGGCAGTGGCCGCGGCCGCAGCAGCTCGGGCCGGCGCTTCCCGTCCCCTCCCCCCCACCGACGTGGTACGGCCCGCGTAGCTCCGCCCCCGCCTGACACTGCAGCCACCGCTGCCCGCGCGGGGAATGGCACAACCGGGGGGCGGGGCCGACCGAGCGAGAAGCCTCTTCGTGGGCGGGGCTTTGAGACCAGGCCCCGCCCGCGGGCTCCCCGGCACCCCCTGCCGGCTCCAGCGCGGCTCGGCAGGGTGCAGCGCCGAGCACCTGCCGCCGGGATCCGGGGAGCCCGGGGCCTCCCGCTCCCGGGGGCTGCGCTGGGCACTGCCTGCCTGGCGGCAGAGGACGGAGGGGGCAGGCCCGGGGCGGATCTGGGGCCGAGGACGCGCACCCGCAGGAGGCAGCTGAAGCCCCGCACCGAGCGGCGACCCCCCGCACGGAACCAGGCGGCGAGGAGCTCCCGGCCGGAGTTTATTCGGTGCCATCCAAGTGCAAGTCACGCGCGGGTGTTAGTGCAGGTTAGTGCGGTGGCCCCGGCCGCCGGGTCCTGGGGAGGGAGTGCAGGGCCCCAAGCCAGGCTCAGCCTCGTGGCACGGGGAGAAAGGCAGAGCTGGGCACGGGGGTACAGGAGGGCACCTGGGCAGCTGCTGCTGCTTGGGCCAAACAGCCAGGTCCTGACCTCCCCTCCCCAGGCTCCTGCAGGCCTGGGCACGGCCCCAGGTATTCGTGTGGTGAAGCTGGCGGCGTTGGCCTCTCCCAGGGCATTGGAACAGACACCCCCAGTCATTCAATTTCCCGCTACCGACGATGGCACGGGGCGGGGGGGCAGGCACTACCCCTGGGCCCTTGAGCTACCCTCCTGCCCATGGCTGCTGGCGTGGTCGGGTGGGGGGCGGTGACCATGGCTTTCCTTCTCGTGGCGCTTGGGGCCGCTCCGATCTCCCTCCCTGGCAGAGCTGCAAGAACAGCAGAGACAGGGGAAAGTGTGTGTGGCAGGAAAACAGCAGGGGGCACCACAAGGCCCAGCCCTGGGCACTGAGCACCGCCACAGGCGATGCCACCCAGGTGCCCATGCTCTGCCCCAGCTGGGCCCCTTGCCATGCTGGCTTCTGTGCAGTAAGCCCCTCAGGCAGCTGAAACCTGGGGCTGGAGCCCCTGCGCGGTGCCGGTCCTAGGCTCACCTTGGCCCCAGCCCATAGTGCTGCAGCACAAACTCCTCAAAGTCATCGGCCGCCTCATCGTTGCCCTGCTCCTGCCATGCCAGCACCTCGAGCAGGTCCTCTACATGGTCTGCAAAATCGCTGAAGCGCAGGCGGTCGTGGGCGAAGGTGCCATCTGGGCCAAAGACGTCATCCAGCGGTGCTGCCAGGCGCCCATAGTGTGGCCCCCAGCCTCGCTGCACCATGAACCCCTCCAGCAGTTGTAGGAACCCTGCCTTCTGCACAGGTGCCAGCCCCTCCTGCCGGGCGCAAGCTGCTGCACCTGAGCAGCCCTGGGGTGCCTGGTACTGGCTCAGGGAGGGTAGCTCCCAGGCACGGGGCACATGGTGCCCATGTGGGGGAACCTTCCTGCTGCCCACCCGCCGTGCTGGGCTGTCCCAGTCCCTGCCTGGCTTGGGCTCGTGGCGGGGCTTGTG